TCTCCACATGGGATCCGAACCCTCGGCGGGAGCGCCGCCGCACTCCCAAGTGGCGCACTCTCCAGTGTGCCACTGGGCCGGGCCTGGAGTATGTTTTTATAGCAGCCATAGAAAAATGAATACAGTGATATTAGTAAAATCTTTGGCTGTCACTAGGCCTTAGTTTCCCCATGAATTCCAAGAAAAGATTGGATGATGTCTAATACACTTAAATGCTAATTATCAACTGTTATGAAAGTATTTCATTATTTTAACTGTTAATGAAGTTGTACTGATGTGCATGTCAGGTGACTATCAGCTCTAGGTGAAAAACAAAAGATCTTCGCTTTGGAGTTTGGATCTTTGAGACCCTGACTTGAGGATCCTTGAGACCTTGGAGGAATGAAAAATTAGTTGTAAGCTGATTGAAGAGCCCTTGTTAAAAGATCAAGTAGTGAGGCCCTGCCATTATCCTTACCTAGCCCAATGCCCATCTCTTTAGGAGAGCTGGCTAAGGTCATGATCCTATTTCTATTCTTGTTCAGAGTATTTGAAAGGTATATTATTGTGGCAACAGCAAACAAGCCAAAAACACATTTACCACTCCCCTTAATTTCACTCTGACTTTGCTCATCCCTGGATCTATAGCTCTCCCCCTCTCCCACCTCACTCATCTCCAGGGCCCTTCACCACTGCCTGGCATATAGCAGGTAACGGTTTGAAGAGTTGGATGCTGTAGAATAGTTTGTACAGTGGTAAGTCTCAGTTTCAAAGCTCAGAGCCAAGAAGAAAGGATAGAAGTCCTGATGTTGCCCTTACCTGGCCCAGCACTGGTCTCCCCACGGTAGCCATCCACTTCAGTGGTCCAGTCCCAATATGAGTTCACTGTAGACATTGCTATGACAGCAGGAAATTAGGGTCAAAGGGCTCTCTTCCCGCCAGGAGCTGTGAAGTGAGAGATGGCTGCAAAACTTGGCGCCCTTCTCTGAGCATCTGTGCTGGGCTTTCCAGATGGCCTGGCATCTTAGTTTCTCACTGTTGGGGATGGGAAGAAGGTTCATAGAGGGGAGGTGATATACCCAGAGTCACACAGAAAGTCATACTAGGAATAGAACAGAAGTTACAGTGTTATTTTTTCCTGCATTTTTCCAATAGGAGTGTTCTCTCTCTTTCCTTTTGTGTCAGAAGTTTCCACAAAGAAGAGTATATATTCATGATTCTACTCCTTAACTAACATTAACTCCTTGCTCCCTTTCTTTTGTTTTTATTCCTTTATTGTCATGTTCTCTCTGAGGAACCTAGTGACCTCTTATTCCCCATCCAGTGTCATTGGGGATCCTCCTTAGGCTTCCATGACACCATTTCAGATCTCTTCGACTGTCACAGAACCCTAGAAAAAAATCACCTTCCAAAAGGGATTGCAAGGTTGTAGTTACCTCAGTCTTGGTCTTGAGTGGCTTTGGGAAGTCTGCAAAGAATACGGAGCCCAGTCAAGGACCCTGGTATGCTTGGGTGAACAGTAGAATGCCCTAGGGAAATTGAGAAGTAAGTAAAGGCCAGTCGGGTCTATACCTGGACCTGTCTCAACATTTTCCTCATGATGTTGAGAAGTTCCGTGTTGCCTGTTTGGTAAGAATAGAAAGCTCTGTGACCTTTTAACTTACCCTAATCCCATCATCCCTCCCCAGCTCACAGGTAGTCTTCAAAATAAAACCTCATTCCAGGTGTTGAAGTGAGCAGGACAGACTTTGATTGTTAATTATCATTATTTGACCTGTCTGGTGGTTCCCTGAAAGACTTGACTAAAAAGTCTTGTTTTGTTAGTCACCCAGTGCCAAAAGCCTCTCCGGAGGGATGGGAGAGCATTTGCCACACAGCTGCCTAAGGCAGTGGATAACAATTGGGGGAAACAAGAGAATAACCAAAAGAGCTCAGAAGGAAAAATGGAGGAATACGATGTTTATAGGGACTTTGAAAAACTCCAACACATTCCTAGGGAATCTAGAAGGACACACACATGCATAGAGCTGTATGCCTGCTCAAGAAAGATGTGAGAAAGCTATACAGCCCTACCTCTGACTGGCCTTGAGGCTCCATATAAGCAGAAAGTGAAGGCTATGGCACAGTTGTAAACTGCCCTGCTAAGTGTTGAAGATGTGGCTCAGCAAGAAGCACAGCTTTTTATTAAAGACTACAAGATTTACTGGTTCCAGACATTTAAGGAAATATCTATCCAATCATTAACTGACCACTAAGCTAACTGAGTAAAGACTTCAATGGTCATCCATGATAAAGAATACAGAAGGCTATCCAGAATTAATTCAGAAAAGTCATTAAACAAACAGACAAACAAACAAAGAAAACAACTACTACAACAAGCAGTGCCAACAACAAGCTCTGGGGAGAGAGAGAATTAGATTTCCAGAGCTGCCACAATATATTATTTTAAAAGCTCAGCTTTCAACAAAAAGATATGAGACATGCAAAAAAATTAAAAAGTATATCCCATAACAGGTAAACAAATTAATCAATAGAAACTGTACCTGAGGAAGCACAGATATTTGATTTACTAGACAAAACAATTTAAGCTATTTTTTTAGTTCAAAAAACTAAAGGAAAACATGTCCAAATAACTAAAAAAACCCAAAAAATGAGCACAATTCAAACCAAATAGAGAATATCAATAAAGAGACTGATAGTTTAAAAAAGAACCAAATAGAACTACTGAAGTTGAAAAGTGCAATAATCGAAAGAAAAACTTCATTAGAGGGGAGAAAAATCCACCAGAGAAGATTTGAGCAGGAAGAATAAAGAATCATGAACTTGGTAATATGATAATTGAAATTATCCAGTTAGAAGAATAGAAACATGAATGTAAAAATATGAACAAAACCCCAGAGACCTGTGAGACATCATAAACAGGAGAGGAGAGAGAGAAAGGGGGCAGACAGAATATTTGAAGAAATAATGTCAAAAACATTCCAATTTCATGAATAACAATAATCTGCAAATACCAGAAGCTCAACAAACTTCTAGTAGTATAAGCTCAAAAACTTCTACAACTAGGCACATCATAATCAAAAAGCCAAAGCCAAAGAGAGAATATTGAAAACATCAAGAGAGAAGCAGCTTACCATATACAGGGGATTCTCAATAAGATTAATGGCTAATTTCTCATCAGAAACAATGGAGGCTAGAAGGCAATGCAATTATAGGTTCAAAGTGCTGAGACAAAAATCTTATCAATCAATAATTCTATATTCAGCAAAAATACCCTTTAAAAACAAAGGGACTATTGAGACATTCCAAGATAAACAATAACTGAGTTTATCACTAACAGTTCTGACCTACAAGAAATATTAAAGAGCATTCTTCAGGCTGAAATAAAAGGTCACTTGAGAGTAACTCTAATCAACAGGAAGAAACAAAAAGGCACTACAAAAGATAACTACATAAGCCAATACGGAGTGTAGATGTATTTTTTTGTTTTTAAATCCTTTTCACTCCTATTTGATTTAAAAGACACTGCATAAATCAATAATTATAAATTGAAGGCTATACAGCCCTACCTCTGGTGTAGGTGTGTTTATAATATTTAAAAATTTAATTTGTTACAATAATAGCATTAAAAGAGGGGGAATGTAGCTATATAAAAACAAATTAGTATATACTATTGAAATTAAGTTAGTATAAATCCAATATTGATGAGGATGCAGAGAATAAGGAACTCTCCATTGCTGGTGGGAATGTAAAGTGGTACGGCCACTGCAGAAAACATTATGGAGGTTCCTCAGAGAACTGAAAATAGATCTACCCTACATCCTAGCTATCCCACTATTGGGTATATTTCCAAAGGAAATGAAATCAGTATATCAAAAAGACACCTGCACTCCCATGTTCATCACAGCACTATTTGCAAAAGTCAAGAGATGAAATCAACCTAACTGCCCATCAGCAGATGAATGGATGAAAAAACTGTGGCATATACACACAATGGAATACTACTCAGCTATAAAAAATGATATCCGATCATTTGCAGCAACACGAGTGGAACTGGAAGCAATCATGTTAAGTGAAGTAAGTCAGGCACAAAAAGACAAATACTGCATGATATCACTCATATGTGGAATCTTAAAAAAAAAGTGGTTCTCGAGTAGCAGACTAATGGGTTTCTATGCTATCTAACCTAAGTGAATTATTGTACAGTGTATTCAGGTATTGAAACAACATGCTGCATCCACAAATATGTACAAATAAATGTTAAAATATTTTGAACAAAAAATAAGAATTAATGGTAATCCCCAGGGCAACCACCAAGAAAATAAATCAGAACATACAGTGAAATAAACAACTAAGGAATTACATGGTACACTAGAAAATAACAGAAAAGATGGCAGAATGTAAAAACAGAGAAATAAGGAAGGCATAAGATATATAGAAAAAAATAGCAAACTTATAGACATAAATCCTACCTTATCAGTAATTTCTTTAAATGTAAATGGATTAAACTCTCAAATTTAAAGACAGTGACTGGCAGTACAGATTTAAAAAAGAAAAACAATCTAACTGTGCTATGCACACTTAGGGTTCAAAGACACAAATAGTTTCAAATTAAAAGGATGGGAAAAGATAAACCATGTGAACAGAAACCAAAATAGAGCTGGAGTGGCTCTACTAATATCTGATAAAGTAGACTTTAAGGTAAAGACAGTTACCAGAAGCAAATAAGGACATTTTATAATTATTAGAAAAAAATCAATCCATAAGAAGATACTTAAATTATAAACAGATATGCTCCTAACAACAGGGTCATATAATATGTGAAGCAAAAACAGATGGCCTCAAAAGGAGAAATAGACATTTTAACAATAATAGTTTGAGACTTCAATATCACACTTTCGGTTATGGTTAGAATAACTAAACAAACTTGAACAAAACTATTAATCAACTATACCTAACATATATAAAAAACACTCCACACAACAGTAGCAGGATATACATTATTCTCAAGTGCACATGGAAAATTATCCAGAGTAGACCATACATTAGGCCATAAAACACATTTCAGTAAATCTGAAAGAACTTAAATAATACAAAGTATATTCTGCAAACACAATGAAATTAAATTAGAAATAAATAACAAAAATTAATTTCTGAAAAGGAAATAAAATACCTGAGAAAACAGACCTTTAACAAATAAAAAGATTGGAATTGTAATCAAACAACTACCCATAAAGAAAAGGTCAGGCCCAGGTGGCTTCACTGGTGAATTCTATTAAACACTTAAAGAAAAATTAATTCAAATTCTTCAAAAATTATTTTAAAAAATTGGTGATGTAATATTTTCCAACCCACTATATGAGACCAGTATTACCCTGATACAAAAGCAGGCAAAGCCATCAAAGCTAAGAACCAATATCCCTTATGAATATATATGCAGACATCTTTTAAAAAATACTAGCATACAAAATCCAGCAGTATAGTAAAAGGATTATACACCATGACCAAGTGAGATTTATCTCATTATTATGAGGTTGAATCAACATGCAAAAATGAGCAAATGTAATAAACGCTATTAATAGAACAAAGGGAGAAAAGCACACAATTATCTCAATAGACACGGAGAAAATATTTGACACAATCCAGCACTCATAACCTTAAAAAAAAAAATTATACACACTGCAAATAGAAGAAACTTTCTCAACCTGATAAATGGTGCCTACAAAAATATCCACAGTTAACATAAAACATAATGGTGAAAGACTGAATGCTTTTCCTGTAAGATCAGGAACAAGACAAGAATGTCCACTCTTGCCATGTTTATTTACCATTGTATTGGAGGTACTATCCAGGGAAATTATGCAAATTAAATAAGTAAGTAAGTAAACAACTAAATAAATAAACAAATAGAAACTATCCAGACCGTTAAGGAAGAAATAAAACTACCTCTATTTTCAGATGTGATCATATATAGAAAATTCTTATAAATGCACAAGTAATAGAACCAATAAATGAATTCAGCATGGTTGCAGGATACAAAAATCAGTTTTATTTTTATCCATTAGCAGTGAACAAACCAAAAATGATATTAAGAAAACAGTTACTTCACACCAGCATAAAAATAATACAACATTTAGAAACAAATTAAACCAATTAAGAGTCCAGAAATAAACCTGTATATCATTGGTCATAGATTTTCAACCAGGCTGCCAAACCATTCAGTGGGAAAGCATAATCTCTTCAGGTAATGACACTGGACAACTGGATAGTCACATGGAAAAGAATAAAATTGGGCCCCTGCCTCATACCATGTAGAAAAATTAACTCAACATGAATCAAAGACCTAAATGTAAGAGCTAAAACTATAAAACCCTGAAAAGAAAATATAGTGGTGAATCTTCATAAACCTGGGTTTGGCAACATATTCCTAGATATGACACCAAAACCAAAAGTATCAAAAGAAAAGAT